TAAGGCTTGAAGTGGGCCTTTTAAGAAAGATGGGGACAAATGTTTTAGCAGGACCTGTTGTGATAGAACAAGAGATAGTGGTTTTAAATTGAAGAAGGGTTAATATAGATTAGATCTAAGGTGGAAATTTTCTCAGTCAGTGTGGTGACCCACTGGAACAAGTTGCCCTGAGGTGCTCCATCTCTGGAAACATTCAAGATAGGTTGGATGGGGCTCTCAGCAACCTAGTCTAGTTGAAGATGTCCCTGCTTATTGCAGAGGGGTTGGACTAAATATCTTTCAAAGGTCCTTTCCAACCCAAACCATGCTGTGATTCCATGTGAACAGCAGAGGTGAGGCTCAGACTCACTGCAGTGAGAACCCCATACTGTCATCTCTTATGCTCTCCCTTCCTTAAAAGCCTTCCCCATTTCTGGACTGCTCTTCTTCAGGCAGCCCCTGGCTACCACATGGCCAAGATGATCATCAAACTCATCACATCCATTGGTGAGGTCATCAACAACGACCCCTATGTGGGGGACAAGCTCAAGGTCATCTTCCTGGAGAACTACCGGGTATCCCTGGCTGAGAAGGGTATGTCTGGTCTTTTGTAAGCACGTGTCAGAAGTTGGGCATGTCCCAGCTGAGCCTAGGAACGGGCTGGCCTGAGAGGCAGTTGTGGCAGGACACCTGGCTGTCCCCTAGGAACAGCCCGAAGGCTCCACATAGGGCAGGAAGCCAGCTTCATGCAGGAGTGGCAGCAGCTGCTTGGGGTCATGGCAAAGCTGAGCCTGGCCTCAGAGTTGTGCAGTTTGGGCTGAGGGCGAGGTCAGAAGGGCCAGTGGCAAATGCCAGTCCTGGTTGTGGGGAGCTGCAATGTGCCAAGGATTAACTCTTACTTCTCTTGCACCTGGCAGTGATCCCAGCAGCGGATCTCTCCCAGCAGATCTCCACAGCTGGCACGGAGGCCTCAGGTACAGGCAACATGAAGTTCATGGTGAACGGGGCCCTCACCATTGGTACCATGGACGGGGCCAACGTGGAGATGGCTGAGGAGGCAGGCGAAGAAAATCTCTTCATATTTGGCATGCGGGTGGAGGACGTGGAGGCCCTGGATCGGAAAGGGTTGGTGAACACCAGGGCTTGTCAGATGGAGATGCAGGGCTCAGCTCTGGTGGGGAGAGCCATGTTCTCTGGGAGGGACACCTTCCTCTGTATCACCTCTGGAGCAGGAAAAAGCAGGGGGCTAGAGGCAGTCTTTGCCTTGGGCTGCAAGGATGCAGCTTGCCCAAGCACACTGGCTGTGAGTGGGACATGACACAAAGTGTATCAGACACTGCTGCTGGTCTGAGCCACGAGCAGCGTGCTCTGATGGGCACAGCCCTGGGAGCAAGGCCCCCCACTCAGGAGCTGTAGCACATCCTTGCCTGCCCTCCCTGCCCCAGACACAAGGGCCCCAGGAAGAGCAGCAGTGCCTAGAGGCTGTCTCTGCTGGCACAGGTACAACGCCCGCGAGTACTACGAGAGCCTGCCCGAGCTGCGCCAGGCCATCGACCAGATCACCAGCGGCTTCTTTTCCCCTCGAGACCCCGGCTGCTTCAAGGATGTTGTGAACATGCTCATGTACCACGACAGGTGAGTCCTGGGAAGCATCCCTGTGCAGGGGAAGCCCTGGCTGCTCATGGGAAGACATCTGTCCTGCCCAGAAGGCAAGCCCCAGCCAGACTCTGCTTTGGGTTTCAGGTTTAAGGTGTTTGCAGACTATGAGGCCTACATTAAGTGCCAAGGGCAAGTGGACCAGCTGTTCATGGTAAGACTCGCCCACTGCTGAGTGGGAAGACTGGGGGTTAACTGGGATGAGTGTGCTACAGTGGAGCCCTTATGAACACTGCAGCATGTGGTGCCCTGGGGCAGGGTGAGGCAGGTTTGGCTGTTTCAGCAGCCCCACACCATGGTGTTTTAAACTAGCCAGTGTCCTGCAAGGCTGCAAGCCAGGACGGAGCTGGGTGAGCAACTGAGTACTGACACTGCCTCTCCTCTTCCCAGGATCCCCGTGAATGGACGAGGAAAGTCATCAGGAACATTGCGTGCTCGGGCAAGTTCTCCAGTGACAGAACCATCACTGAGTATGCCCGTGAGATCTGGGGGGTGGAGCCTTCTGCCACAGCAATCCCCCCGCCCAACCTGCCCCGAAATTGATGCAAGCACCAGGGGAAGGAAGGAGTGATATGCTCCCATTGCAGGAGGCCTCACCTGCGTTTCACCACCAGTCAGATGGGCTCAGCTCTGCAGAACCAAGGCCTTTCCCTCAGAGGGATAGAAGGATGCTCTGAGGAGGAGCCCTGACTAAGGAACAAGAGCTGGAGGGCAGGAGAAAGGACCTTGTGTTTGCACCTACCTAGCCTGCATGTGCTGCATAGTGCTTTTAGAGAGATGACCATGGATAAGTCTTCCACAGCTGTGCTCCATGCTTAACAAGGGCTTTCCAAGTAAACCCTCCCCTCCCCCTGTGTGCAAGGGCCTGGCCTCCTTGACCCTGCCCCTTAAAGTAGGATTAGCCAACACAGAGTGTGTCTTTCTCCTGCAGGGGTCTGCTGGGCCCAAAGCTGGGAGAGAGAGGCCAATCCCTGCCCATCTCCTTCCCCAGTGTCACCTAAGGAAGGGGGGGCTGGCTGTGAAAGCCCCATGGCAGGCACCAATGTCAAACACTGTGCCACAAGCAGGAGAGCCTGGGATCAGCCACTTCCTTGCCACAGAGCTTACTGTAGCCTCCTACCACACCTCTTACCTAACTAAAGGCCCAGTAACCAAGCCACGCCAGGGATTTTCAGCCTCCATCTCTGCATAGGGAGGGCTGTACCTGCTACTGCCAGCTGGGTAGCTGAGCCTGCTGGCTCTTGGCTCTGCAGATACAGCTGTGTGTATGTGCTACTCAGGGGATGAACATGGATCACATCCCTGGCACTCTTCCATAGCAGGATCATGCTGCTGCACATGTCCCTCCCAGTGCTGGGGTCACAGTTTAACACCCATAGTGCTGTGTAGTGCACCAGTACTACCCTGTTTGACACCAACTCATTAAAACAACCCAAACACCTGCTGGTTTGACTTCAGACTGACTTGTGACTACTCCATGCCTCTGCGGTCAGGTTGCAACAAGTTCAGGCCACAATGCCTGAATCACTGCTGTCCTTGCCCAGCTGTGGCTTTGTGGTTTGTAGTCCCTTGCAGCTGGCAGGGCGCTGGCACCACCATGGCAGGGAACATGCCCATGGCAGGCTGACTCTCTGTGCTGGGGTGGGGGTTAGTGTTGGGTTTGCCCTGCTAATGGCACACAGGACTACTGAACTAGAAGTCACACATGCAATTCCCATCTCCCCCATTCCCAGGGGAGAAGCATAGCCTCAGCTGCAGCCAAACTACAGGCATAGACCCTCTGGGCTCCAGGAGAGTCGTCCTCCTAGAGCTGGCAGCAGCCACAAAAATTTGCCCACTCCCAGCTGCAAGCTCACCTCCCACACACAACCCTACTGCAGCCCAGCCCCACACCCAGCTGACCTGCTCAGTGTGGGGAAAATGTCCCAAAAACTGCCAGGTAAGACTGGTAAAGCTGAAGTGATCAGCAGTCAATGCCTTTATTAAAACTACACCACTTTTAGATAAACATTTCAGTTTAAATTTCCAAACGTATCACTGAGCTGCTAACAGGAATGGTGGTGGTGGGACCACCAAGAGCAGCAGTTCTCGTGCTGGACTCCCAGCTCTGTCCCAGCAGGAGGAAGGCAGCCAGCCAGGCCCATCTCAGGCTGCACTTTGCCCCAAGCCAGCTGCCAGCAGCAGCATTGACTGGAATGTGTGTGTTACTCTCCAGAGCCAGGTAAGTATTTCTCGTCTGTCAGTGCGATAAATTAAGGTTGACGCACTTGTATTGTAGTGGCACAGCTACTTCATGAGTATCAGAGGGTCAGAAACCTCAGGGACAACTGCACTAATGGCAGAAGAATCCTGGTACAAAAACAAGCTACTGTCTCTTTTGCAACTAGTATGAGCCTGCAGCTATAACTCTGATGCATGCTGAACAGTTTATTACTATGCTGTGCACCCCTGACCAGATCCTTGGGGCAGCACAATTCCCTTTGAGCACTGGTGACTAAACCTACAGCACCTGGGACTGTCTGTATGGACTGACAAGGGGCAGGACCCCGGCGAGGCAGTGTGTGACTGACTCCTCTTTCAGTGCAGAGCTCCTCAGTGGCATAAACCAGCCCCACTTCTAGCCCCAAGCAGGGCAAGGACATCTGCAGAACCTCTTCCTGTGGGAAAGGCTCATTTCCACTTCTGCCTCCTGAACAATGGCTGTCAGAGGGACTAAGATGTGCTACTGGAAATGCACACAAGACAGGGAGGAGAGATGGGGAATGATATCCCAGACTTATTCTTGCATCAAAAACTGTATCACTGCCTGCTTTTAACTGAAGTGGAACAGCACTGCCACCAGGAACAGGAAAACCTGACCCAAGGAGTTAAAAAGTAGTAGAGGAAAAAAAACCCCTTGCCCTTCTCACCTAAAAGCAGCACATGGCTGTCTGGGTTTGTACAGGGGTAATGGAAGACATCCATTCCAGCAGCCTGGGCACACACTGTCCATGGAAAAGGAGATCAAGCAAAAAAGTAATCTCAGTTTCTGGCTTAAACACCCACATCTGCAGTTTATATACGTGTCATTCCAATCCTAATAGGAAGTACTTGTGAAGAATGGGAGGAGGTCCACAGAGGATAGCAGGTATGAGAGCAAAAAATAACATTCAGAAGGAAAAAGGTACAGGAAAGATAAAAGGGCACTAGCCTTTCCCATTAAATAGATGTTTCAAAAGGAAGAACAAAAAAAGAAAATCTTTCAGTTTATTTCCAAATGTGTGCAATTACCCCAACACTTGCAGCACTTTGTGACTGAAGAGCTAAATAAAAATACCTCTCACTACCTGGATCCTCCATGTATTTGTAATTACAGCCACTGATCAAAAAGGAAAGGCAAAACATGTATTTTCTAGAAAGAGAACACCTCAAACTCAAGCAAGACACCTGCAGTAAGGAGATGTGGCAAAAGCCACTTGCCTACAAATGTATCTCTACATGATCCAAAAACAGCAGCAGTGTTTAAAAGAAAAAGAAACATCCTTGGTCATGACACAGTGTCCTAGGAACATCTGTCCTCAGCAGCACCACGAGGGATGGGCGAGGCTTCACTGCGCTTACATTTCTCACGGTTTGGTACTGGCTCCTGGGCTGTTACCACCCCTCCGTCCAAGTCCAAAAAGAAGCCAACAGCTTCTTCCTTCTGCCGTCACAGATGCTGATGCCAGAAGCTGGAGTTGCCAAGGGTACACATCAGGACTGGAATGGGAATCCCTGACCTCCTCTAGTGCCAGGGATGGAAGAACGGCAGACTGACCCACAGGGAGCGGGGAGGAAAAAGAGAGAGGAAGGAAATGAAAATCTCTGTGCTGACAAGCAGACAGTCTTCAGTGATGATGCTCATGTTCAGATTTTCCCAGGAATTCCCTAGAAAAGGAAATGACAAAGCAGTGACACTTGGCTCTCCTATACTCTGGTGCATGCTACAGCCTGCAGGTCTTCCCGTTCCCCTGGCAAATACTATGGCTCGAGCAATTGCAGCTCCAGGGAACAGCACTGAGCTTTGCTCTCACACCCATCAGAGGCTCCCACTCAAAGAGTCAAACTGAAGCAACCGCTCTGCAAACAGCATCCGCCTCACAGCACAGATGAGCCAGGTAGTGCTCCCAGATTTCTGTGGCTCCCCTTCCCAAAACCTGCTTTGCAAGGAGGTGGAGAGCTCTGACTCCTGTGCTAAGCCAGCCAAACTGAAGCAACCCCTCTGCAAACAGCTCCTCCAGAGCATCCGCCTCACAGCACAGATGAGCCAGGTAGTGCTCCCAGATTTCTGTGGCTCCCCTTCCCAAAACCTGCTTTGCAAGGAGGTGGAGAGCTCTGACTCCTGTGCTAAGCCAGCCCTGGTGTAGCAGGCACAGGGTCTGCAAGGCCTCCCTCGAGGTCAGTTGGTGCCTAAGATAAATGCCTGGTCATGATGACTGGACTAAGAAGCCCCTCTTCTGCCTTCGGTCCCTTGTTATCTCTCTGTAAGACGATAAGGCACTTTCACCTCAATCCTTACTATTAGACTGTTTCCCAAAACTCCTGTGCCCTATATAAACCCCTACTTCTGCCTAGTTCAGCAGAAAAGCAGTCACTAAGACCCTTTTCAGAAGCTGCCAATAAAGACATCGCTTTACCTCATACAGCGCTTCTCCTCTCCCTCCCTATGCCTGCTGCTGGAGCACTTAGCAATCAAAGAGCTGAAAACCACTAAAAAGCAGTCACTAAGACCCTTTGCAGAAGCTGCCAATAAAGACGTCACTGTAGAACCTCATACAGCGCTTCTCCTCTCCCTCCCTATGCCTGCTGCTGAAGCACTTAGCAATCAAAGAGCTGAAAACCACTAATAATCTGAGAATCACTAAAGAGCCAATCTCACTTAAGAGCTGAGCTTGCTAAGATTGCCTGCGGCTCTAGAGCCTGCCTAAGGGGCCCAGACAGGTTGTGCTTAACTAAACTTCGCTGTCTGGGACACATTTTCAGGGAGACCCTGAAAACCCCAGAGCCACGTTACCCCCGGATGTCCCCCGCTGTGGAGAGCGAAGGGTGCCCGGGTGTCCAGCCCAGCCCAGCCCAGCCCAGGGCGCAGTTACCGCAGTATCCGAGGTAGCTCTGGACTCCTGTAGATGTACTTGTGCCGGTAGCCGAGCTCTGTGTGGAAGGGCACAAACTGCACCTTGTAGTCCCGGAAGCTCCGCGACGTCGCTGCGATGTTGTAAAGCTGAACCCAAGGGGAGGCAGGTGAGGGACTCGTGTCACTGCAACCCAGCTCCCCCTGCCAAACCCACAGCCCCCTCAGGCATGGGTGAGGGGCCCTGGCTTCAGCAGCTTTGGTAGCTTCAGCCTCATTTCATTACTGATTTGCCACCTCCAACACTAGAGAATCTGCAGTCCCTCTGGGCTATGTGTTTTACACCTTTCCATTACTGACTTCTTGCCTGGCTGAGATGTTGTTCTATCCACACCAGTTCCTCCCACCAGATCAGTTTGCAGAGCCACCTGTGTACCTTTTTTCCCAGATGAAATGGTACCACTGGATCATCCTCAGCATGAAGGATGAGCAGGGAGCAAGAAATGTATTTCACACTGTAAAACAGAAAACAGTGTCACCAAGGCTCAGAGCAATCCCATCATTCTCTAACACCAACACATGTACATTTTAAAGAAAACTGTAATGACAAGCATGTCCTGTGGGATATTAACTACAATTTAAAACCTTATCTGGGCACCATTCATTTGATCTATAGAAAATTTACCAGTGAAAGGCATGCTTATAACATTTTCTTGCGGCTTAGACCAGAGAAATGTGGCTCACTCCACTGTAAATCATCACCCCCCTCCCCCCCAGGTCTGGTTTGGTTTCAATACTGGAAACTCACAAATGCTCAGGCTCTTCAATGAAAGACTCAGTGAAAGGCTTAGGCAAATACACAGCAAAGAAATCTTCCCAAACCTTCCTTCTATGTTCCAATGCTACTGTTTAATGTGCAAGGTACACTCGAAAAGCGTGAAATGGCCATGAAATGGCATGAACCAAGTCAGCATATCCCTGAGTAGTCTCTGTTCTCTCTGTTGCATCTGTCCTTACTATGAACAATTGAAAAAGACAGAGCTCCACTGTGCTGCTCTCAGGGCTGTGAGAGTAATTGAAATCACTCCAGTAAGAGCAATGCAGCAACAAAAAAAAAAAACAGAGTGCAGTCTCTCCTCATTGATGCTTGCCATGGCTTACTGCAGCCACAGCTGAAACCCACAGCAAAGAGGGAACTCACTTCTCATCGTTTGCAAATTTAATTCCACTTGTTGTGATGGGGTCAAGGAAGAACCAGTCAAATCCAGGGAAGTATCTGTATATCTGAGAGGAAAAATGTGCATTAGTGGCAGGCACCAGCAGGCCATTGATACAAAGAGCACTAACAGGGCACGCCACTGCCATCCCATAACATCCCTTGGCTGCTGACCAGGCTCTTTGCAGTAAAACTGCCCCTGTTTCCACCAGCATTATTTTTCCTCCCCTGTTTCAGGCCTATCTTACCAGCCTGCTCAGGAGCAGGCCCTGAGGGTGCTTGCACGGTCAAAGTCTCCAGGTGTCATGCAGGACTGTTGGCAGTTCTTCCTGGAAGAGCTTTTTTCCAGGACACCTCACCAGCTTGGCTGTATCCGAGGCCTGACTGGGTGTCTGCTCAGTTCAGAGCCAGTCCATTCCCACGCAGGACACATGGCTCTGGCACTGCTCATTGTGTTCCCAGCAGCTGTTCCCAGTGTAGTTCTTTACCCCCAGTGTTCACTGATACCACCACTGCCCCACAAGTCATGCAGTTAGCTCAGCTCCAGCACTTCTGAAGGTTCATTTCCATGCACACAGTTCCATGCCACCAGTGTGAGCGTCACTGTGTACTTGCCACAGAAAAGGGATGACTCCGCGCCTCCTCCCGGATGTTGGTGAACGGAGATTCCAGGATCAGGGCATCCGGGGGCGTTTCTGAAAAGCCAAAGGCAATGTGCTGAAATTCAGGGGTGCAGACAGCCAGCAAGTTCAGGCTCTGCCTCCTGAGAGCACCAAGAACAGCTCTGTCAGTGTCCCAAACGTCTGCGGGAATGTGGGACAGCGGCCGGCTGGCGGGAGGCCATCCACGTGTCACACTCACCTCTCTCGCAGAGGCGCCGCACCAGATTTGTTGCGACTCTGGAAAGAAGAAGGAGCATCGAATTGGCACAGGCCCTCTGCAGAGCAGCAGCTCCAGAGGTGGCACAGGTACAACTCAACAGCCACAAGGTCCATCCCAAACACTGCTCCAGGTCCGGCAGCTGGCCCACAGCGACCTGTGTCCCCATCGGCCTCACGAACCCGACTGCCCCAAGTGACATCAGGGCCTGTGTTTAAGTGAACAAGTCCAAGGAAGAAACACACCAGGCATCCCCTCGGATGGACTCCTTTCAGGTGACTCTCAGGCTCCCAGCACATCCACAGCAGTGTGACACAGCCTCCTACCTCCAGACCACAAGGGCTGACCAAGCAAGAGGGGAATGCAGGGTGTAGGCAGAGGGATGCTGTGTTCCAGGCAGCTGGAGTGCAGTATCCCAGGGCTACTACACTGCAAGGAGCTTCCCTAACTGGGACAGAAAGCAGCAAGGTCTCCCCTATGCATCACCCTAATGGGACAGGGATATTTCCAAAGTTGCCAAGTCCTCCAAGCACAGCACATTTCACAAACCTTGAACTCCAGACTGGCTGCGGTCACTAGAGAACTCAGCTGGGGACCAGTGTCAGGACACTCTGACTGCAGTGCTGGGAAACATCACAAGCATGCTCTGACCCAGAAAGGGATTCTGAGCAGGGCAAAAAATATAGAGGACGAGCCAAGAAAAAGTCTTTGTCTTCTCTCAAACTAAGCAGGGTGTTTAGTGTCACAGCAATGAAGAGCCACTTCCCTGAAATGCCTCCCTGTCCCATCATGTGTTTCACAGCCTTTGTGGTCTTACAGTTCATATGCACACAGCTCAACTCAAAGGCAACTCTTGTGTTTGCCCTCTGCTCCTCCACCAATCACAAGGACAAGAGCATGTGGTGCTGAACATGACTCGCCTCCAGACAACCATGGAAAGGGAGGAAGAAGGAAATAAAAACATGAAGGCAAAGGCACTTGGAAAGGGTGGAAGAAGGAAATAAAAACATGAAGGCAAAGGCACTTGACACCTTGAACTTCCCTGTGCCAGGCATGATCACGCAAATATCAGAGGTGGCCAGCAGCATAGTCATGAAAGCATCTGCCCAAGCACTGATTACACACAGCATGTTCATCAGGACAGGAGGAAAGCACAAGGCACACACAAGCGTGGCTGGTCTGAGAGACTTTTAGAATACCAGAGAAGTCTGATGCTCTGCTCTGAAAGACAACCTGCAATCTATTATTCTAAGTGTCTCTCTAGTGTGAACCCTGTGGACAATGAAGGTTCAAGATCCACTGCTGCAGTCATTCACTGTAGCCCTTCTCACTCTGCACAGCGCAAAGGGGGAAGCCACCCTCCAGAAATTATGCCACAGATGCCAAGCCAAGCCAGCCCAGGGATTACTGCAAAACAGCACCTTCATCCAAGGTCAGTGCTTAATGTTCTTTAGAAGCTGCTTCTTTAGAAGTGCCACTAAGATTAGATGCTTACCCTGTGCCCAGGGAGTGTCCCCATATATAGACAGGGTTGTCTCCGCTCCGGGCTTTTATCCAGTCGAAGACGTGAAGGGCGTCGTAGGTCATTCCCCTCTCTGAAGGGCTGCCTATTGAGTCACCCCAGCCTGGAACACAAAGAGTCCTGCTGAGAATCGCTCCAACTGCTCAGCAGAACCAGCCTGCTCCTCCCATGCAGCCCATCTGCAACTGCAAAGGGGCCTGGGACATGGGTACTTGCTGCTCACTTCCATGACTTGCACCTCCATGATTTGGGGCTGTAAGCCCTGGTTGACTCACAGTCATTTAATCCAGGTGACTGCTGTCTGCCAAGGAGTTTTTGTAGATTTAGTCAACAACAAAACCAAAGATTGGATCTCAAACACTGCTGCAACAGCATTCTCGCACACGTACCCACCTGCAACAGCTCAGCTCCCAAACCTCCCCTGCTTCTGCATGCATGTAACCAATTTGTAAGTGGAGTCTCTGACAGCACAGGATTGGATGCTTAGGGCCAAAACCCAACCGTGTCTCACAGAGCTGTTGCGACATCAGATTGTCTGTGCTGTTCAATCAGTGCCCTCCAGCAATTTTCCACCCTCCTGACTGTTCTGGCTCCATCACCATTGCAGCACATCCACACATTGTATGCTCTTAGCAGCCAGCACCCCACATCCCTTCTGATGCTCAATAAGCAGCCAGAGAAGCAGCTGCCAGCAGGACTGAAAAACAGGACAAGCTCCTACAAATAAACTTCTCCCAGGTGTCTTCTTGATAAAAATGCAATGGATTAATTTCTTTCCTGTATCTGCAGTGGCATTACACTGCAGCCATGGCTTAAACACTAAGAAGGTAAAAAAGGAGCAGCAGATGCCTGACTGCTGGTGCAGAGGTGCAAAGCAGTCATGGCTTCTGCCAAGTATTGTTAGCAAATCATTTACTCTGTCTTATCTCATCTACGAGCTTTTAGAAGGAAGTAAGTGCAAATTCAGTTCCCTGTGTGATCTTAGGAAAGTCAACTAGATCTTATCCAAAAGGACGACACCTAGGCAAGCCCACCAGCTTCCACATGTGCCCCTGGGGAGTGCCTTCAGTGGATGCTGTGACAGCCTGTGTGTGCCTGGCTCACTCTCTGCTCCTCAGCTCCCAAATCAACAAGCCCTGGGCACGAGGACAGACAGGAGCCACAGCCCACCCAGCTGGACATCAGGAAGCACTGCTACACAGGAAGGCACTGGAAAGAAATTTCTGGAAATTCTCTAGACACCCAAGAGGGGGGAAAAGAGAAGCAATACCCACACCTAATTAGCTGGCAGGCAGGGTTTGTAGAAGAAGCCCACATACCTCGATAGTCAAACGTCACCACGTGGTACCCGAGGGAGCTGAGAACCTGGAAGGCAGAGAAACTCAGAACCCTTACAGAGTCCTGCACACCAGCCATGCTCCTGCATCAGGCCAAGGTGCAGGGATTCATTTTATAAAATTATTGACATGGTAAATGGCCAATTTACAGCTTTTCAATGTAGCAGGCACAGAGCTTTCCAAACCCTAATCTCAGCCCACTGGTTTTACTCTCTGTTTGTTTCCTGGAGCTCATATCAGGCTACCTAAGATGTTGATTATCCCTTTAAAAGCTTTGACCTTAAGATCTGCAAATATCCTACTGTTTCCCCTACAAAGACTTTCATGTTTTCCAGTAAAAGAGTACAACTGCTTCAATTACATTACTGAAATTGGCATAAATGTAAGAATAACATATAGGAGCCCACGGCTTAAATGTATAGCTCAAAAATGTGCAGTTGCTCTATTATAAATATTCATGTTATAGCCAATGGTAATCCCAACAAAACCTGTTAAAAGTCAGTAAAACCACTCAATGTTAGACCACCTTGCTTGGAAAAAGTGCCTTGGTAAAACCAATACAAGCATTCCAAGCTACCATTGCTTGATATGAACCTAACAGCTCTGTGGCAGACAAAAATCAACACAAAGTTACAAAATTATTAAAATGTTTCTCTTGTGGTCTATGTATGATACATTATTTAAAAAAAAAAAAAAAGCAATATTAGTATTATGCTATACTCTAAAGAGGAAATATAAAACCAACACCCTTTCTGGTGGTACTGGGACTGCTGTAGTCTACAAATGAAATTACACTTGTCAACTGAGCATTACTTATAGCACAATTTTAAGAGATTACATGTATTGGGTAGATTTATAAACAATTACACAACCACTTTGAGGCACACAGTATCAGACAACTGACTGGAAAGGGAGAGAGCACTTCCATTGTCCCAGCAGACAAATTAGATGCTGCAGGACAGCTGTTTCCAATGGAATCATGATATGACATTTTTATATGTTCACTCACACATTGAATTCCCTGACTGGACATGCAGAAGATGAAGTTTCTTCCTGAAACGTTTATTAGCTTTATAATGTGATTTTACTGCTAAGAGATCATATACAATCTCACTTTTCCCAGGCCGTTAAAAGTTATTTAATCTGTTGAGAGTTCACCTGTCTTCTACACATGTTTTGTGTGTTGAAGGCCTATTAAAATGACCAGCAAAAAGGACAGCATCCCAAATGATTCACTCTGCTGGAATAAACACAAACCTGGAGTTTCTTAAAGGAAATGAAGTATCACCTGCCTTCTTGGAGTTGCTAAACACTATTTTCTAAGCAACCTGAATTTAAAAGATTTTGTAGCAGGGGATCTTGCATTAAATTGCAATAAAGCTTTATGAGTGCCAACACTGACACAAATAAAGAGAAGAACAGACTGAGACCTCTCTGAAATGAACCAACAGAAACAATTACATCTCTTTTAGAAACGTGTGATAGGAGACCAAGAAATTGTGTGTGGGAATTTCACCCAAAAGAGTTTAATAAAGTAAATTGCCCCTAAAATCATTAGACAAAACACTCAAAGCAGCTGTGTTCTCATATAACTCACACCATAGTGCTACACCTGGGGAATTCATTGGGTTTTCTACAAAAGCTTCTGCACTTGAGATGGCACCACTCATACAAATGCACTGTGCCTTAATTAAAGGGGAAATCCAGGCTGAATGCCCTTAAATGGTAGCTTAAATTAGTACACTAATAAATCAAATTTGGGCTGTAATTAAATAAAACTTTTGATTTTTCCCAGAAAATGTGCTGGTTAGCTCAGCTGGAGCTGGCAGTTAACAACAGCAAATAAAAGACCTTTCAAACACCTTTGAAGATGGGAGAAGTGTGCTTGCTCACAGCTTACAGAGCCTTTTCCATTACAGGCTTCCTACTGGAAGGACACTGAGAGCCCCAAGGGCTGTGCCTGTTGGCAGTGGGCTGTTTGAGCAGTCTACTGTGCACACCTGAGGTGTTAAAGCAGCTGTTAAAGCAGTTTGGACAACACAGGCAGCCACTCACCTTGTAAAGCTCCACCCGGTGATCCCCTCCTCTGGCAAGAGCCATCGATGAAGAAAAAAGGAGAGGAGAAAAAAAGAAAAATATAAAACAAAACAATAAAAAACAAACAAAAAGAAACAAACACAAAAAAAAAAAAAAAAAAAAAAAAAAAAAAAAAAAAAAAAAAAACCAACCACATCTGAGCATTTAATTTTCCAGAAACATATTTCCCAGCTGCCTCAGGCAATCTAACAAAAACATGCCAAACATAAGAAACACCATTAATGCTCTGTCACAGGCTTCAAGGAGACAGCCAGGCTTTGCTGAGCTGTGCAGGACATAATTCTGAAGTCAACTTCTGAATGTAAGTCTTGCCTCACAGCAGGTAAAAATGAACTTTTCAACCCACCCTGCCATCTGCCTTTTCCAAAGCCTGTAATACATCCAGAACAGCTTGTCCCTTTTTGCTCTGCCTACCCTGATCTCTTGCCACAAGTGCTGCCCCAGCCAGTAGCCCTGACTCTCAGAAGTTTGATGCTCCCAGCAGAAATCATGACATTAAGCCAAGCAGGTGGCCCTTAAATTTTCTCACCTGGCTCCAAGCACAGGGAAAGAAAGGACATGTGCAAAAAGATGAGCAGAGAGAAGCAGAAATGAAAACTGTAAAGTCCAGGGGAAGAATTTGCTTTTATTTTTAAATATAACCTGAAACCTAGACAATGGAAAGGAATATGAGTGTGCCATTACATACCTTAAAATATATGCACAACATGACATGGCTAATCCATACTCAAACTTCAATCCAGTATTGGTATAATAGTAAAGGTACTCTTGCACTTATGAGACTCCAGAACTTTCATACTACGATTGGCTTGGTCAGCCTCTAATCCAAAATGCCAGATCTCCCTCTAAGAACACATGCACTTGCCAACCAAAAGCTGTCAGCTCCAACCATGCCAGAAAACACCTAATCCAGTCAAAAACACTCAGGGCAAAATGCAAGGGGTTGCTTGTAAGTCATTTTGAATCATACAAGCCTGAGGATGATGATCCACTTGCTTGAAAAGTCACCTTCCACATGCACACGTTTGTGCTTTTTCATGCTTTTCTTGAAGTGCAACAGAGGAATTTTTTCTAAGGGGATTGAGTACACAACATTTTTGCCTCAGCCTCAGATCACTCAAGCCAAACCAGGAAGCCAAGGCAGTGCCTTTTACTCGTGGTTAATGCAGCCTGCAGCAGTAAAGCAGCGCTGGGACAAGTGACTGAATGTGCAGCACAGAAACAAACATACAGAGACACACATTAAATCTGAAATGGCAAAGCCAAGACACCTCCAGCTCCTCCAGAGCACAGAGTGAAATGGGAAATATGCAACTGATCCCTAGTTCAGTCCTTTAGCTCAACTTGGGGGAGTTGAGAAGGAAATCTAATCAATACACAAAAAGTAGAGATACTGCCCCCAAAGAGACACCATCAAGCTGCAGACCAGCTTCCCTTAGTATCATTTGCTACACCCAATCAAGGCAAAAAATAAAAAAAAAAGTGAAGAAATATTTGAAAAACAATGCTACAATTTGATTAAACCTTGCAATGCATCAGCACAAGAAGGCAAGGGCAGTTTGCAAAAAACCCATCTGTTCATGCATTTCCTGGGTTGCAGCACACAGTTCCACACTGTGCCCTTGTAACATGAAAAGCACACTGCTGAGACAAGAATTGGTGTGAAAAATGTTCTTGTGATGTAGAGGCCAGCAAACCTTCACTACCAGCACAGCTAAAACTGTTTCTTTACTTCACATCATGGAACTTGTTTTCCTGCAACGTTGCTGCTCTTGAAGAGTATCTATGGGCAGACATCAGCTTCAAAAGAACATGCAATCAAGGAAAAACATCCCAAGAACTGGCACTCAAAATTCATCAGGAGACTGATACTCTTTTGTAAATGCATATTTTTAAGAGAAAGGACAGTGTTCTAATAAACAAACAAAAGAACTGTAACATGTGGAGAGGTGTCAGGAAGAACATGATCCTGAGAAATATCTTCACACTGCATTAATGGTATTTAGCAACCAGCAACAAATTACAGAGAACTGATCTGCTACTTCAGCCAATAAACAGTCAACTATAAAATTAGAAGTGCTAGAAGTGCTCCTGGTCCAGACAAATGTCCTGGACAGACGCAATAATGAAACAAGATCAGCACAAAACCTTCCTCTTTCCTTTTGATTTTCCTTCCTCAGAATGTGTTAACTACCAAAATAAACTCACAAAAGGAACTGGAAGGTTTATTTAATGCCTGTGAGTCACATACAGAGAAGCACTAATACCATCCCCTGTCTCAATTCAGACTACTGTACTGCAAAGAAGGACTTTCCATCACCTGGTTCAGGAAGGATCACAGCCTCCTGGCTTCTAGCAGAGGATACAAGGTAAACTAGAATATCAGATATCTCTGACAACTGCAGTAAATCTATTCACACATTCAAAAATGGAGAGGGCTCATCCCATAAAATGTATGTGCCTTCTTTTAAAAGGAGAAGCACCAAACTAATTTTAGATTTTATTTTGGTTTTAATCATAAAATAGTTTGGGCTGGAAGAGACCTTCAAAGGCCATCTAGTCCAAATCCCCTGCAATGAGCAGGGACATCTTCAACTAGACCAGTTTGCTCAGACCCCCATCCAGCCTGACCTTGAATGTTTCTAGGGGTGGTGCCTCTGCCACCTCTCTGGGCATCCTGTGCCAGTGTTTGACCACCACCCTCATTGTCAACAACTTCCTCCCTGTATCTAAATCAACCTCTTTTAGTTTAAAACCATTATCCCTTGTCCTATCACTACAGCCCCTAAGGAGTTTTTTGTCTTTCTGAAGGTGTGGAAGCTGTGACAAGCCAGGAAAACACATCCTGAAACAAAGCCACCAGTGTTTTGTGCCTCACCTTGTGCCTGCATTGCCGTGCAGGTAAAGGATTACAGGGTGGCTGGAGCCCAGAGCCTCTTCAAACCACAGCTGGTCCTTCCCTCGGGCGTTCTTCCATAAGGCTGCAGGGACTGTGTGCCTGTGAACAGAAGGAAAATCTACACTTTCCTGCTGCTCCTCAACACTCAAGTGTCTGCCACTTGAACTCTGAGATTTTTTCTGTTCAACTCCACTCAGGAATACACATCTCTCACACACTGTTCATAAAACTGTCCCAATTAGCTGACAAATGGTCAAATTGTAAAGGCAGTGGCTACACTTATTTCTACATTTTACCTCCATCACCACTGCCTTCAAAATGTAGAGCTGTCTATGCAAGGCACTGAACTTCAAAGGCACAATTACTGAACTTCCTGCTGCTCTGGCAAAATAATCACAGTTCCTCAGCTTTTATGGCACTTAATTACTTCAATTAACATACTTATATACCATAAACAAGATTCACTGCTAGGTCAGCAGATGTACAGAATAATCAAAGGCAGTTGGGCTTGGAAAGAATGTTCAGTGATTAAGAGGCATATCTGACTTTCCAGCCAATCTGAGGAAAAGGAGGAGCCTAGGCTCTGAGGAGGAGATAAAATGTTTTGTTTCCAGGCACAAGGTTCTTGAAGGTGTAACATTTTAGCTGAAAAAGTTACAATCTACAAGAGGCAGGAATTTTTAACTCCCAGCAGTTCTTCTTCAGACAATGTACCTAGGTGGCCTGTGAGAAAGAATTCAACAGCGGTGGAACAGAAAGAGGAATGACAGACTGAACAGAAGGCAGGCAATTAAACTGGATAATCAGAATACAAACACAAAGCAAGCACATGCCCACAACCATCTGAGTTGTGAGAAGGGGGCTGGCTTACAGCCATCAGAAGTAACTTGAGCACTCACACACCTTTTCACCTGAAAGGCAGAGCAGCCTGCACCCACCACAGCAATCCTCCCAAATGCAGAGCTCAGAGCACAAACCAGCAGGGGGAAAGCAATGTCAAAAGTGGACTTGATCGCATGCAGCCAGCAGACACCAAGGTCTTGAAGAGGTAAAAAGCCTCAGTAACTGAGAGACTCAAATATACAACTGTTCTGCCCCAAGACTTTTGCAAACTTACAAACAAAGCAGGCTGAGGACTTTGTTTCACAAATGTACCAAACACAAGACCTTGCACTGGCTTTTAAAAGCAAGGTTCCAAACTTTTGTGAAAATTTTCCATAAATATCAAGATAAATGACAGCCTCTGAATTGCCCCCACAAGCTGAAAGTTCTGTTTTAGCAAAGACACACAGTACACTTGCAAGGCAAACAAAACACAAATCTCAAGACTGCAATAAAAACTTATTTAACAGCTTAACATGTAGAATTTTAATTGTGCAAGTGAAGAATCAAACCACTATTTATCAGGCTATCCTGGAAAGACTGAAGTTTTCAAGTTTCTAAACATATTTTTCACTAGAATATACTTAAAGGAAAGAAAACATCCTAATGATAATTACAAGAACATCTCTATCCCATTTAAAGGTGATGTACCAGTGAAGAGAAAATCTCTACTGCATTAAAGGACACATCTAAGTTACACAGACAACTGAAAACTCCAAATCCTGCACTTCACAAACTGAACAGCACTGTCTGCATTAAGCAAACACCCCCGTCCCTCCATACCTGACACAATCCAGGGTAACAAGGAGCTAAAATGAATTGTCCTTACCTGGGACCAGAAAATCATCTCTGAGAGAAAGAAATGACAAATGAGCTCTGACACTGTCACTTGTTTTGTGAAGAGTGTAAACTGTGTGTTCCGTTCTCACCCACTCTCCAAATCTTACATATGTTTTATGAACAGAATTTTCTTCCTCCTACTCTGAACACTTTGATCTGTTTTCATATCTTCCCCCACATGTATTTTACAAAACAAAATACAAATCAGAGTTGAATGACAAAACATCTAACTCCATGGGTCTGGTGTGATCTGGAGGCAGGATCTTTGTAGTGATGCAGACCTGTAACCTTTATAATTCCAAATTTGGATGTTTCTCTGAATGCACAGGTTGTCTGACTGTGTTTTCTGCATTACTGATCCTAGCTCAGATGAGCCCCAGAGATTTGCATACTTCTGAACAGGAACTCGGTCACTTGGCAGAGGAAAATACAAACATCCACAAATGAGAGCATGCACAGCAAAAAGACTTGAACAGGCAACATCTAGAACAAAGAGAAGGATAAAGATGCATGGCACATACTGCACAGAACTGGATTCCTTACCAGACTCCAATGGTTACATCCTCCTCTGGCTGCAAATAATAATTACAGGTGTGGTTTAAACCTTGATCCTGTGGTCTTTTCAAGTCAATGAAATATGGGACCCTCACTGAAATGAAAAAAGAAAGAAAAAAAAAAAAACATTTTAATTGTAATTTATTTTCTTACAAAACTGCTTAACCAAAGCACTGGAGAGTTGTACTAACTGGTCTGCTGTGCTGGGAAGACCTTTTTGTGTAAAAGGATGAATTTGCTACAGCTGTGATTTAAAACATGAACAGCAAAGAGAGCAAGGTAAGAAGACACAGGAAACTACCAAAAAACCAGGGAACAGGCTAAAATTAAGAGAAGGTGGGGAAGACAGAACTTCCTTTGAGAAATATTTAACCATCTCTGTCCAGTCTGCTTTATAAATCTCTGCTGCATCAGTGGCGTGGGTTAGCTGATTTGGATTCAGTCTTTTCCCACAAAATGGAGCTCCACTACAGCAGAACCAGGAAGTCTGTCTCCTTGAGATTCAGTGGTACAGCCATTAACACACCAAAGCTTTTGTGCTATTGACACAAAAATAAATACTGATAATGGTGACAGCTAAATCTCACTTCACTTACCCTCTCAAAAACTGTTAAACTTCACACAGACATAAAAACCAATGCAGACAACAGCCAATGTTAACCTGACAAATGTGGGCCCTCAGACTGCAAATCTTTATCTGTGCAAGTGTCTGCTCTTATGCAAAAGCATTTGGGAGTGTCCCAGACAAGCCATGCATGGCACCACCACCTGCTGCACCTCATGAGGGCTGTGGATCCTCTTGGATCCACACAAGTCACTTCTACCAGTGCTCTGGGAAAATCATGCAACTTCTCTGTGCCTTTGTGGTGTCTAACATCAGCCAGAAATTCAGATCCTTTGTATCCCCAACTCCAGAATGCCAGGGGTTGTCCTCGAGTCTCTCCAGGTACCTTTTGCCAGAGACTCCAGGAAGGACCATCCTCCCAGCAGCTGAGCACGGTATTTACATCTTGTCCTGTCCTGCCTGGCCCAAGAGCTACTGCATGGGCAGTCTCCTGTTTGATCTGTTCAAAAGCTTGTTGTTTTTCAGGGCCCCACTTGGAACCATTCTTCTTCCATGTCACAAGACAGAGAGCTTAGAGTCTGGCTGTCCTCTGGGATATGCATCTCCCAAAAACCCAAAGCTCCTAGGAAAGCTGTATTTCCTTCTTGCTGGTTGGTGGGGACATGGCTGCTATTCTGTTGACCATGTCCTCTGGAATCTGATGATGTCCATCTTGCCTCCTGGGCAGGTCCCCTGACCTTACTTTGTTCTGTGGCAAAGCTGGCCTTGAGGAGGATCTGGATCATCTGCTCCCTTTTCTCAAAAACTTCCTCTGCTGTATTGTCCCAAATGACCATGTCATCACTGTACTGCAAGTGTTCTGGAGCCTCATCCTTTCACAGTGCAGTCTGGATCAGTCCATGGCAGACAGGGAGACTGTTTCCACTCCTGGGACAGTCAATTCCAGGTGTACACCTCTCCAGGTGAAGGCAAACTGTGGCCTGTATTCTGCTACTGAAGGAATGAAGAAAATTGCATTATGGTGGCATCACTGACATTTTACCACCATGGCAGGTCAAACCACAGCGTGCCTCGTGGTGTGAACCCTCTCTCCCAAGCAGGGATGTGCCTGCTCTCAGCAGTGGAGACTCTGGTCTGTATTGGCAGGACATGGGACATTTCCTCCTTGAATTGCTGATCATCCTCCTTAATTTGGTCCTCTTAAATTTCTCCTTTAATTTAAACTTTTAATTCCTTGGACAGTCTTTTCACAGATGAGACTCAGCCCATACCAGGGAGGAGATGTTTCCTTCATACAGCAGGAGTTTGGGAACCAAATTGTCCACCTTTTGGTCTCCTCTTTTCCACATCAGTGCCAGTGAGCTGACACATGACGCTGGTGTGCTCCAGAGGAATTTCCAACGCACGGTTTGTGTACACTGGATGTCATCTGGGTTCACAAGGAACTGCTCCTTCTTTGAATCCTTACAGATCACCTCCAGCACAGCTGATTCTCTCATGTACTGGATACCTTGCTCCACGGTGTCCCACTTGTCTCAGTGCACTAAAAGGTCATCCTTGCAAAGATATCTTTCCCTCATGCTCCACACGAGCCACTTCCAGAGGCTGAAAGTTCCTGGTCTTTTCCCAATCCCCAGCCAATGCCTGCATCCTGGGACAGGAACCCAATTGCCTGGCTTCCTTGGAGCAGCCAGGTAACCAGGGACTCACCTCACAGCTCACCTGGGGGTAGGGATAGGGTAGGGATCTCTGGCCCTGCCTCTTCCTCTGCTTGTGAGGGCCCTGCTTCCTCTTCATCACTCACTACACAAACTGGTTTGGTCTTGGATTTCTTGTTCTGTGCAGGGCCAACTGCTCCTGGCACAGGTTCAGTCCGGTTCAGCTGCAGTCAATGTGATGAGCAGTCCAATAATTAGCAGCCAGGGCCCAACACATTGCAGCAACTTCCCCCCTTTTGGAACTGCCATGGTGATTTTCTTCCAAATATTCTGCCACGTTACCAAGGTCTTGTATTTGTTCAGGGGTGAACTTCCAAAACCACTGGAGCAGAATACTCCTTCAAAAGCTGGCCCATTCTCCATGCTACTCCTGACTATCCACCTCCAGGGCAGGTTTCTGGACAATTTCCCTAGAGATCTCTGTCCTGACTCTAAACACGTTGTAGACCATACTGAGGAAACCTGGCAAACACAGCAACAAGAACAGGCTACAGGACAATTATTTTGGTCACTTGTCAATGAGCAGAGGCAGGAACTTCGGTGAGACCTAACAAAGCTCTGCAAAAGCAAAATCACTGAAACCTGCACTATTCAGGTTATGTGGACGTCAGTTCTGACAATCAAAGCACAAGAGCTGCCCTGCACACGTGCACACTTCACAGCAGCCACGATCCAAGGTGTGAGAAGATGCAAAGCATGCAGTCAAAAATTAAACAAGTTATGTAAAAAACAATGTATCCATAGTTGGTCCTTCTAGCTTTGACAGAGAGGAAGATATTTTTCAAAATGTCATTATGAAATACAAGATTTAAATACAAATTTAGATTGCTGGGTTTAATTTCACTTGCTTGCTGTCTACTCACACAACTGTGTGGAACCCCTCAGAAAAACACATCTGACATACTACACAGTTTTCCTGAAGGAAAACTCTTTTGGCTGAAAATTGGCTTCAGTTTGGTCACTATTTGTACAAAGACATGCTACAGCAACCACCAGGGCCACACAGAAAGCTTTCCAAACCACAGTCTGGGGAAGTTTACAACCTGTGAAAGTTCATGTCCTTCACAAGCTGCTCACATGCAGGGTGAAAGTGAAAGCAAACAAACCCAAGACACCCCTCCCCTTGTCCTCTCACCCACACACTGACCCACCCATCACTTACCAAAGTTTAGGAAGACCAGCTTTGCCTGAATAGCAGGGCAAAGTTTTACTAGAAATGGGATGGCTATGTACACTCCCAGCAACCAGAGTAATAATTTCCTCAATCGAAACCATAATCCGTATCGCCTGTATAAAAGAAAAAAAAATAGAAAGACAGATTTGAATACAGCAGAATTTTTATGAAGCAATTTTCACAATGATCTGCGTGCCTGGTGGTTTTGAAAATCTGGTCATTTACACATTAAACAAAACCTAACTTCAAACAGTTTGTGTAGCCTCAGTTGTTTGAGAGAAGCAGAAGTAACCAAAATACCAGCTGATGACATACAGCTTAGAAAAAGGGAATAGAAACTCCCTACTGATTACATTTTAAAAGACTCTGTAACAAGAGCTTTTCTTCCTGCTAACTTAGCAGATTTCAGAATCAATAGAATGCATATCACATGTTCATCTCCAAAAAGTAACCCAACCATACTTCCATTTAGATCACTATCAGATTTTGTTCAGTTAGATTTTCACATATTTTGAAGAACTGTGTATAATGAGACTGATAAAGTTACACATGATCTCATGTACAGACTGGAGCAGACATTCTGCCTTGTCCAGCTAAAAGGATAAATATATAATAAATTTCATAAACTGCAGCATTATTCTCTAAGAATTGCCCCAACACCGTATCTCTATTTTCTCTTGAGTACTCTTATTAAGAATAAGGTACCAAAAAAAAAAAAATCCTAATCAACAAAAAAAACTAACAAAAAAAAAAAATCAAGTAATACACAGCAGCTAATCAAGCAATATATCTCAAAATTCCCTTTATTGTATCAGAATAACTACCAAATACATGCTCAGATGTGTTCTATATATGCACATATGTTTACATAAAGGCATATGTGTAATGATTTAGTTGACTAACATTTCATGTGCACTGAGGTTTCTCAATCAGCCCTGCAATCAAGAACTAAAATCCATGGGAAGCCTTCAGGCAACACAATTTCTGTTCCTTTTCAGCAGACAGTCTTGAGCAAGAATCATGTTCCATGCCAGTGAGCAAACAGTTCTCAGTGTTGGGAACTGCAGGCAGCTGAAATCAGAGAACAATCTTTCCAAAAGGCATGAAATTATTAATCTCCCATCTGGCAATTCTTGGAGCTGACACACTAAACTTGCTCTAGACTAGAGCTAAGAGGGTTTACCCATTGTCAGCTAGTTGAAATTGTCAAATAGAGAGCCTAAAGGTCTGTTTTTTACACATTTGTGCAAGAAAAATGAATGTACACACAGAACTGGGATGGAAATAGTTTAATTATGTACCAAAATTTTCAAAATCTCAATAGCTTTTGTGGTCCAAAAGCCAAGACTCTCAGGAACACTTTTTCAGCACAGCAAAAATGGAGACATTCCAATCTCCCCCTAAGTTTTTGGCATGATTGCCGAGGTGCTCACAGGGAAGAGGATATCCTCTCATTCATCCAAAACCTGCCTTCACCACACTACTACATGCCTGCAAGTGCCTGTCTGCCTCCTCTCACCCTGGAACCACGTTCTGGACTTCAGAAACACGTACTGCCAAAATTAAAGCCCTTTTCTTCACAAGCTAAAGCACCTGTCATTTTTCAAAGGGGGAAAAATCTATTACTAAGAAACTGTCACCCAGCTGTGGCTGCTACAAACCCACGTTGAAAGGTTCAACAGATTTTTATACTTCCCACTGCAAATTTGACAATGAAGAGGTAAAGAACTCCATCAAGGCTTCCAGTGACATTTCCACACCTCAAGCCCAATTTCCCAAAGTAAGAAAAGCAGAAACAGCAAAGGACTAGCAGAGGAAATTATACAAAATAGGGGCTTTAGAAGAACAGTAGTGAGTACCAAAGCCTCAGACTGACCCACCTATGCCCACAACTTTGGGTAAAAAACCCACACAACATTTGGTTTGGGCTAACCACTGAGCTGATCATTGCTCCCTACTCTCAGATTAAACCCAGCTTTCCACAGCTACCTCTACATCAGCACCTACCACCTTGAATGGATTTGTGGAAGACAAAGGGGGATCACTACAGGATAGCTGACATTTAACTGCTGAGCAACTGAAATGTAACTTAGCTCTCTTCAATGAGAAAAGTGTGTGGTTTTGTTAAAACACTTTGTCTAGTTATCTTTTTTCACTTAGATCTACTCCCATTCATCTCTCCTTATTGGCAAAAAGGGAGTGGTTGAAGCTAAAAGAGGAGGTAACTCATTTTGGAGTGTCCCTGCCTTCAATTGCCTTAAACCAAGACACTCTGTCCTCACATCCTTCCCAGTAACAACCAAAGTACAGGGGAGCAGCCAGGCAGGATGGGGCTTTCCAGCAAGTTTTCCTGCCTGGGGCCTAGATCCTGCAAAAAGAGCCAAAATTCCCAGGGGAATTTTGCATATGCCAGGATTTCTCCTACAGAATAAAAACCCTACTCGCTTAGGAAGACAACAGGAGCAGGTCGTAACTCCTCCAGGCACAACCAGAGCATGCCAAAACAGGGGCTCCCCAGAGATCTGGGTGGCAAAGCACTTCCCACAGCCCAGCCACCAGCTGGAACCAGGAACACAAAGCACTGAGGAGCACATGGCCCAGGTAAGGCTGTCAGAGCTCAGGAATGATTCCAGTTTCTCCTTTTTGGAGACTGAACTGAGGCATCCCTTTCTCTGCTCCCATGCCCCACGTCAGATGCTAATGAGCAACATGACATTTACACCTCATCTCCAGGGAGATGTCTACTTACAATGTAACCAGGGCAAAGCTCCTATCCACCAGACAGCTTTTCTCCTGATAAATCCAAGAATATACGCTGAAGTACAGACATTATGAAATTATCAGGTGAGCAATTTAGCTAAATTAAACTCCTATCGCTTGGTAGAAAAGCTATTTCAGGAAATATGTGCCCTGCAAAAGGAAATTTTGGTGTGCTCAGGCAAAAGCAACATACTTGTCACCATCTTTTCACCAGAAAACTCAGCAGGTCTTAGTTGGAAAATACAAGTGATGTAGAAAATAAGAAGCTGCAAACTGAAGATATTTAAGAATATCAGAAATTGATTTCCTGGAACAATATAAAGCAATGTGTAAAAAACCTCAAAACAACAACACAGAACAACCAATCCCAAGTCAGCTCAAAATAAAATCAAATTCCCAGCATCACATTTTCCCCCCTGCATCACATTTTCCCCTTTTACCAAAGGCTTTTTCCCAGCATCTGGGTTCTGTCCAAACACAGGCAAAACATGAAGTAGTTTTTGCTTCATGCACTTTGCTGAAGTGAATATGGAAAAGCACATTCCCTCTCCAGACTTACTTAAGTCTGACAGAAGGAAGTCTTTCCTGGAAGTGTGACATCAGAAACAGAAGGTTTTCCTCATGGCTTACACCTGGATGAAGGTCCCACATTCACCCAGAACAAGCACATTTTGCCTTTGGGCACAGTGTGAGTATCTGGCTGGCAAGGAGAAGCTGGGGGTCCCCTCGTGACAGCTTCTCCTGAGTGCAGCCCCCTCCTCTCCAGCAAACCTGGGAGGTTTTTCATGAACAATGTCCAACCACCACACTCCTGTGCCATGCCCTGGTGGCATCCAGATTCAGATTAAAATAATTTCTCCTGCAGATCATCTGAATCATTTCTACACCAGGAGTGTTTCCATTAGCATCTCCTGATCAGATGTGCTACCAGGGTGAAAGGGCAGGCCAAGGGTGAAACAAGAGAATAAAACTGATCCCGTCAGAGCTGCAGCAGAGCAAGGACAACATTTATCAGAACCACACACAGGCTGTGCTTGCAGTCCCTAAAGGACCTAGAGACAAATGCACCCACAGCCCACCTGCCCTTTGTGACTGCCTGGGGCAAGAGTGAAACAAAACCCCTGCAGACACCAGAGCATGAGGCTCTGTTTGTTCAGTGAATGCTGTCACTCGGGCTGGCTCTGGAGCCCCTCGTGTCCCCAGCTCTCCAAACCAGCAGAGCTCTCCCAGCAGGAACTCAGAGCACAGGATGTGGAGAGCCAAGAGCTTGATCACGCAAGGTACCTCCTGATCACCAGGTGACAGAAGTGACTTTATGGGTGGTAGAGGAAAAAAACAAAATACATGGCATAACAAGAACATATCCCCCCACTTTCCTAACAGAAACATATTAAAAAACCCAAATCAATACATTTGTTCCCTCAGAGCATAAAATCAGGAGGCAGATAAAGACATGAGCAAAAGATTCAAAAAAATGAGGACCAAAGGAAATTTAAAGGACTGGGGTGATTTTTTGGGGGGTAAACAGAGTTGTATCAAAAACAACCTATTCTACAATTTGGAAACTGCAGCAGAGTCCCAAGGCATAGAGGGGCACAAAGAAACACAAAGAAACAATACAGCAGTCATGCAAAAGCCCACACATCAGGTCCCTGGCTAGCCTTCCAGCTTTCCTTGCTAGCCTTGTTTAGAACAAGTGATGGTTTCTAGCCCAGGTAGGGTCATTAAGAGGACTCATCTTCCTTTTCTGCAGAAAGCCTGGACAGTGGTGCTGCACAGGCCCCCTTGCAGGTCCTGAAGGATCCTCCAACCTCTTTTTCCTCCACCACCTGAGCCACCCAATCCAATTAAGCTTTCATTGTATTTCACTTGTTCCTTCTCAAAAAGTTAAAACAGAAAAAGGAAGAAACCTATCAGCCTCTCAGCTCCTGAATTTGAGTTCACAGGCAGTGTCTCCCCTCTCCATCTGGACTTGGTACCAGCAGCATTTGGACAGCTTGAGCAGCAACACTCAACAATGTCATTTTCCACTATAAGATTAATATGAGTTCTTTACCCTATGGGTTTGCTGCAAAAGCTGCTTTATGTGCAGCTCAATGCAAACTGAAAAGATGCTCAAGTCCAGGGGTTTGCCCTCTCCTGGTTTCTGTGCACAGTGAATAAACCTGCATGGGCAAACAGGCAAACACAACTCATTTTGGGCACTGCTATAGAGAATTCTCAATGAAAGCTGCAGACAACTCTTAATTCTGCTTCACTGTAGGTACTGTATAGAGAAACGGGAGATAGAATTATAGAAAATTCATCCAATCCTGAAAGAGATCTTCCCTGAATCCACGAAAGCCAGTGGAAA